AAAAAAAAAAAAAAAAAAAAAAAAAAAAAAGGAAGTCAGCAGGAGCTGATTAATGCTACTTTTTATCAACATGCTAGAATGCTAGAAAAGCATTCCATGATGGGAAATAACTGGGTGATTGACTCAGTCCTAAAGATCTGTATTTCCTATCTTTGAGTTTATTATTTCTAAAAACTAGCTGAAAGACTACTTGTCTACTCTGCAACTGAAAACTTACCAAATTTATATTTTTACAGCTAAATCAGAGATCTTTTACGAAGCTTCTCATGAAGTTTTCCCACCAAATCTGATTGAAGTTTCAAATGCTAAAGAAATTAAATTGCAGAGATAAGAAGTGCAAGTTAAAAGAGCACATACAAAATTAGGAAATTTCCTGAGGCAAATTACAGGGTCTTGTGTTTAGTCCTGCAAATAAATTCTCTGGGCATCTTTGGAGCTCCCAGTTTTTCCCATCAGCAAGTCCAGCACACCAGCAATTACCACGTGGCGGAAGGAGAGGGACTGCTGTCCTCACAGAGCCTCCAATTTGCCTTTTATGCTCTCACTACTGCCAAGTAAATGAGTAGACAGCAGAAGAGAAACAGGCTACAAACGGAGGAGGAGAGGACCATGAGACAACTCTTCTCTCCAAGAGGAGCTGCAAGTCCAGACGTACACACAACTAGGAGAAAAAGCAGATCTTTCTTCCTCTAAAGTGATAAGAGATCAACATGTTTGAAGCTAAATGGCCAAATACAGCCCAGGGTGGTCTCAACAGCTTCAAAGAGCCTAAGCTGACAGTTTATTAAATAGAGAGGAACTTATAGATGAATCAAGAGCTTGAAATATCTGTCCTGCAGGCAGCACTATTTTTACTGAAGAGATCTGTCCAATATTATCTTGACAATAAAACAAACTAGATAGTGCTTTAAAATTTGTAATTTTATAGCTGTATTTGTTTATGCAGTAAATTCCTGGACAGTAGGCCCTTGGCCTTACTGCAGGGAAGAAAAGAGCAGCAAAGAAAATAAGGAAAGAGAAATAATGCTTTGGAGATGAATTATTTTATCATCATACAGTTATGCCAACTTCCTATCAGAAGCAAATGGTCAAGAGCCCTTTCTTCACCAGAACCTTCAACGTTCAGTGGGACATGCTTGGGGAGGACTGTCTGAGCTACAGATGTGCTATGGTTGGGAAAAATCTTTTGAAACCAAATTAAATGGTCCAAGATGAAACTACTAAGATTCTGTTGATCACCGGGGTTAAAGTCCTTAGACAAGTTATTTTTTGAGTTTTGTTTTTGTTCCTGATTTCCAGTTTACAGATGAACCTTTAAGGCTTGTGACTGTCAGTATCACTCCTTTTACTGGAAATACATGGGGGTTTCCTTAGAAATATTTGTACTAAAAACAGCCAGTGGGGGTAAAAGAGGAGGAAAACATGTTAACAAATACCATTGAAAAGCATGCAGTTACTTGGAAAGCCCATTAAATATTCCTATCAGCTTGCAGTGTAGCATTTTTCGTGGTTCTTGGTAAATATTTTCCAAACAAAAAAACTTTGCAAGTTTTTGTCACGAGGCCCTACAACTTATTACCTGCAACAGCACCTCCAGAGCACATCTAAACACCTGGCCGTGAGTGCAGCCCAGCAGCACCGTGTTCTTCATCGGCACCTCTTCAGGGTCGCTCTGCACTTGTGTTCTGGTAATTCTTGCTCCCAAAGACCAACCTTGAAGGAAGGCCACACTTACACAAACAGACCCAAACTGCTTAAAGTGGAATTGCAAGTTGATTTTAGATGTCGTCTGATTCAAACTGTTGCCATGCGTGGGGAGCTTTTATCCTCATCAGAGATTGCAATTGTGAGCTAACCATGGGGATTTTCCCAGTAAATCAGCAAATACCATTTTTATGGTTAATTCTTCAATCACTACATCCCACGAGCAAACCACATAAGTACCTAAAAATAGGTATCTTCTCCCTCTTCCCAAAGAATGCATTAGTTTGATTCCATAACCACTTAGGGGGGGAAAAAAGTCAGTGGCTTACATTATCCTGAACAACAACCGAGGTGGCCACACAGGGAGGTTTGAAGAGAAATGTTTACATCTATTCTATGTCATGCTAAAACAAACACATTTCTCCCACTGGCAGGAACTGGAGGACACCCAAAGGTCTGTTTTTTTCCTCCACTCCAATGTAATCGTCATTTTTCTTCCTTCTACCCAAGTATGTGTGACAGACAAATTCTGCCTGTTTCATATTTAGCCTACAAAAAAAAAATCATGATCCTATTCAAATGATATTGGGCCAGCAATATTATTACTAAATTCAAATTTCCACTTCTGGACCGAGCCCAGAGTAAACCAAACTAACTCATCTTTTGGAGCACTCTGTGAGGGAGGCCCTGTGGGAAGTTACTCGGGACAGCCAAGAGTCACTGAAAGAAGTTAAAACGATTGGGTATGCGCTTGCCAAAGGACTGAGTTCCCATTGCGCAAGTAACACCGTGAAGAGGGGTTGCTATTTTAAATCAATACAGCAGCAGCGTAGGCAGTGGATTTGGGTGAAATTATACATTAACAGGGGCTCTTGACTGCCTTTGTCATGCATCTTGCGGCTCAACTGTCATGCGCGGAGCTATTTATAACTGCTTTGAATGACTGCCCTTGTTTCGTACTTCAACACCACACAAACGGAGAAGCCAAACAAACGGGCACTGAGCACTTGTGTGGGGTTTTGTTCATCTGCAGAGCTTCTGCTATGTTGCTGGAACAGTGTTCGACAGAACCCAGACCCCCACATGGAGATGAGCCCTGCTCTTCCCCCTTCCTTCTCCAAACTGAAGGTTTTCAGAGTGCTTTTCCTGCACTGGAGCCTGCAGCTTTCACAAGAGCTCTTGCCCATTATATAAACCTGAAGGCCCACCAAGTTGACAAAAGCATTTCTAGGTGATGACCCAGATCTTCAAGTGGGAGCTTTATTAGGGCAGCAAGTACAAATTCAGACCAAAGAAAGAAGTCATACAGTTTTAGGTTACAGCAGGACAAAGTCAGTTTAACCCAAAGACCCGGCAGTTCTTTTTCAAAAGAGCAAAAGCATTTCAAAAAAGGAGTCACACTAGCTGTTACAGTAGGAGCCAAGGTAGAGGAAAAGCACTGCTGCATTTAGATAGGTGCAGAAACCACACGGGGTGAAGCCAGCACCGGCTCCCGTGTCAGACACCAACCCTGTGGGCAAAGACAGTTCTATGCGCTCAGGAACACAGGAGCCCCGCTGCCCACCTGCTGCAAGGAAACCCCAGAAAAGTGATTTATGAACACCGAAAAGCTCCAGAGGAAGAAAAGTCCACAGGAAGGAGGAGAAAAAAAAAAGTTGTTTTTCCATCAAAGGCTATATTAAAGCCTAATAAGGGGGGAAATTTGGACTACCCAGGATGTGGCTGTGCGAATAGCATGATTTGTGAAGAGCAGCTGTTCACTACCTGATAAAATAGTTCCTAAAAACTGGCCAAAAAAAAAAAAAAAAATCCTGAAAAGGAAAATTAATTACTCCAACTATGACACCAACCAACCTCACTATCCTCTTCCTGGTTTGCTCTTCTCTGCTTACTTCTAGTGAGTGCCCAGTTTATACACAACATAGTTTCTAAAAAGAGCTCTGTTTGGTGGAGAAAGAGGTGGAGAAAAATGTTATGAGTTTATTTATTAGTATAAAATTAATCTAAAACTCACAATAATCTGCACCTCCCTCTGTTGGTCATCCTGCACTCGAATAAAGACCAGTCTCAATGTCCATGTTGGAAGATACACATGGTTTTACAAATTATGCTGAATGCGGTCACAAGCCATCTGGGTGACTTTTTATACCTTATTATCTCCTGCACATTATAATCTAGAATAATATTTTCTTGCCATGGTTATATAAGGGAACACCCAAGCTTCTAGCTTGCAAATACCGTGTGGGCAAAAATAAATACCTGCTCAGCATTTTTGGCATGCACATTCCTGAAATATATCCATAAGCAAAAGTGGCAATGAAAGGTGGGGTTTGAGTAATCTTTTCCCATAAACAGTTTTTTTTTTGCCACCATGCTAGGACACTCACTATGCAAGTACTGTGCTATACCATGCCAGGATATTGGGATACATATGTTGTATTCATTGGGGCAGGGGGAAGAAAAAAAATAGGAAGAGCATTTATCACCAACATAAGCACCTACCACACCAAGACAAAAGTCAAGGTTACACAAAACAGCAGTTTCTAACTTGTTTGTCTTTATTTTCCTGAACTATGGACCACCCTTGCTCACTCTTCATGCACTACACAGAGCAGAGTCTTTGGGATTTCCGAAGTTTCCCCTCACTTTTTAATTAAGATGAGAGAGAGGAGATGGGCAGAAACCAGTTCACACAGAACAGATTTCCACCCTCTCCAAATGAGATTAAAATGAAGAAAAATGTCAAAGTTGAATGTTTAATGCTTCTCCATACATGAGAATTTCTAGTAGAAACAGTTATAAGCCCTACTCAGCAGTAGTGTGACATTCACTGCTACTGATCTCTCCTGCATTTTAAACCACACTTCCAAACCAAGCAGAGCACTTTCCCAGAGCAGCAGTGGTACATGTGCCATGCTGCTATTTGCTCAGCTTTAGCCGGCTAAGAGTGAACACTGAACACTGTGCACAGGGACACAACAAGTTGGGGTCTTTATTCCTTGCTAGGGAAAGGAGGTCACACGGGGAAGAAAACAGTTTTGGTAGAACACTTTTCTTAAAGCAAGGTAACATCTGCTCTTAAAGACCTGCTTTCTACTAGTTCTTTGCATCTTCCTGCACTGGTACTTTTAATTTCCCCCTCACTAGTGTTCATGCAGTCAGGGGGTCTCAATGCTGCTTTGAAAATAAAATGTAGCACTTCTATCAAGTGACCTACGTGTCTGCAGAGGCTTATTCAACCAACTGCACTGTTGTCCAGCAGCAACGTTGAGCCTGTATCCAAACCAGAGCCTGATCCACCACCTACTACTGCAGCTCTCCTGAAAAGACCTTTCTAGTACTATGGCTGTTCTGTAACAGAAGAAAATCAGGATTCCATGCTTCCTTCCTTTGTAAGGAGATCATTTGCACATTATTTGAGAATACATGAGTGAAACACCCTGGCTCAGTGGTCACCTCTAGAGCTGTACACAACCAGTCCATATAGCACGAGGTTTAATGGGCTGGAGGACAGCAGCTTTGGCATGACACTTGGATTAGCAAAGCAGCTGCCAAAATCCCTGAAGGGGTGAAGCTGGGCTTCTTGTGCTACCTGCTGCTCTCTTCACCTTTCCTTCAGCCAGCAAAGTAAAGGATCATGACTAGGCAGCATAGAGTTTTCCATACTGCTCATGAATTATCTGGGTCAGAGGAAGCCTAAGGAACAGCAGTTGTCCCTTGGAGAGAGCTGGAGCTGCAGATGGCCGAGTTGTTGCAGACTCTCCCAAGTTCCTCAAACTTCCTCTCCTCCCCATATGAACAGGGGGGAACAGCTACCGCTCCTTGAGCTTAACTCAATTTACAAGATTTTGTCTTATATGGATATTTGCCCTTCTTTTGTTTGCTTCCTCTCGTGAAAAAGACAAAGTCATATCCACATAGCCCATAGACTCTTCCAGCCAGCATCTTAGCAGCTATCCCCTACATCAGGTTAGGTCTTTCTTTAAAGAAGCAGACATTTCGGAGAAAATCAACTTATATAGGTCAGAGAGCCTACAGGGCTATAGGGGTATAGTGTTTAATTCACCTTAAGTTACAGCTCTTATTGCTCTTTTGAGCTTGCTTGATACATTTGTTTTGTTTTATTTTTTTATCCATGTCATAAGCACAGGAAGCAAAATGCTCTAAGTTTCTAGATACTAGAGTAGATTGTTCCCAGTCTGCTCATCTCATGTTTCAAAAAACAAAGGGAGAAAAGGAAAGCAAGGAAGCAAAGGAGAGCGGGACAGATCCCAGTATCACTGTGACCTGCAACTGATATTGTAACACAGAATAGCCTGTCATTACTGAGAACAGATACTAGAAAATTTCTGATAATCTAAGGGTGATTTTTTTTTCCTGAGGTCAGCAGAATATCAGCTTCCCCAAGGAGGGCTCCTACGTACCATGCATTACATAAGAAGGTCTGTAGCTTACAGTGTGCAGTAAGTGATAGTTGGTGACAAAAATTTTAAGGAGTTCAAGATAGCTTACAAGAGTGCACTAACTTTACAGTATACAGGAACACGGCTTTTGTGGCCAGACCTCCTCCTTTCTCACGGCTGCAGTGATTTCAAGTTATCTGTTAAATTAAGGCAAGCTTCTATCATTATTACATCAAACTTCAAGGGAACTTAGTAGAACAATGGAATCAATCCTGAGCTTCCATGTCTTAAAAATGTACCTGGGTGCAACCTAAAAGAACAAGAGCAGATTCATGGTCTCAGCCCCCTTCTCCGAGGCAGGACCAAGCCTCTGCAAACCTACAGCTGTCTTTGGCCATGTCTCTGCGACCAAGTGCCACGTCTGTGGGTGCAGGGAGTTCGCACAAGACGACGTGCAAAGTACTACAAAGCTCACTATAGTCCTACTACAGTCCTGCTATAGTGAGCTTTGACCAAAAATGCCAAAACCAGCTCCCACTTACCGCAGTAGCTTAGTCGCTATCAAACACGATTAATACTGAACTGAACTTAGTGTCCCCCCTCAACAGGGCTGCAACACAATGACATAAACCTGCTGTAGCACCAAATGTTTGCAGCTCCACAGCCCAAACCAGGGTTTATTTTTAATACTAGTGCTATCACACAGAATTCCTGCCCTACTCACAGTGCCACTGTCCAAACCTTCCCCTTTCTTCACCATTTATTGAATGAAGATTTTTTTTTTTAAATCTTCCTCAACAAGAGCAAAGGAGTAAAGGCAATGCATCACCTATGAAAATATTTAGTCTTGAAAACAATGGGGAATACAAAGTAGTTTTTTCTTTTCGTTTGACTAATTTGTGCCCAGGACTGCAGACAGGAAGGTACAAACTGTATCTGCGTGAGAGTAAAAAATATATATACAACTATATTTAACATTTAAATTACTTTAAACACAACTGTTGGCATACTAACAAACTTATATACATTTTTAAACAATACCTCTTTAATATCTTCTTTTTTTAAAACAAGTTTTATTTTCCTCCCAAAATACCCAATGCTACTTTAAAATTCTGGAGGGCTAAAAACTTCAGCTATATAGAAAATAGCAAGACATCTTACAATTGTAATGTATCATAGCACATAGTTTTTGTAAAAATAACACATCATTCAAAAATTGAACCACTGTAAAACTTCCCACAAGTCCAACAGGACTGTCTTTATAAGGTAACTTTGGTTAACAGCAAATCATTCTTAAACATTTAAGGAAAAATATATTTTTACCACTTCTACAGATGCATCTCCTTGACCTGTTGTAGCAATCCATGTATCTTTATGGATGAGCACTGCAATGCTGTTCAGTGCAATTTACTTGTACTGTGACTTCAGTAAAAAGGGAATCTTAATACAACCTGGTTTGTAATCCAAGTCTCTGGATATCAGAGAAAGAAAAATACTACCACTTCCTCCTTACAAGGCTGAATCTCATGCAGTACTTGCTGTGTTTAAATCAATGCTTGCCTTTTGTGCAAACCCTGCACTCTGGGCAGGCAGACAAATGAAGTGCCACTGGCCTTGACTGTAATGCAGTGATTTCTTCTGAATAGTGAGGCAGATTTCAGGTCAGATGTGGCCTCTACATCACTGGGATTTGACTCATTCTCAGGGGAACAATTGCCTCCCACTTTTGGGCAGGAAGAACCTAATCCTTATCTTTTCTTCTCCCCTAGCACTACAAAACCCTCTCTGATCCATCAAAAATCACAAAGAAAATGGAAAGATGTAGAATTCTCCAGGAAAAGAACATCACATTAGTCACTAGGCATTGGTTAAGTTGAAAAGCAGAGAAGTCTGACTGATGAACAAAGGCACTTGTAACGGTTCTCTGAACAATAGTCAGTGAGTCAACAACTTAAGTCTTGTGATCCAGCTGACCAACAGTGAGGGCTCTGCAGAGGAAGATTTTGTGGATGATGTAACAGAAGTTTTTTTAGAGCCTTCTTCTTGAAAAGGAATTGTTGCACTGTTGTGGAGGTCTGTATTCATAAAACATCTGCTGCCTCGAATATAATCTGTTCCTCTCACCAAATGCTTTTCAGACATTGGCCTTGGAATGGGATGCTGTGATGAGGGGCTTTCTTCAATGATTGGGGGTATTCTTTCGTTACTGAAGTATCTACACAGGACATCTTCACCTGTCGAAAGCAGAAAGGAAAAAAAAATACTGTTGGCTTCAAGGAAATCCATTGTTCCATTAATATTTTTATGTTCTTATTGCCAAAACCCTTCAGTGTTTCTAATGGCACTTCTCGGACTCTAGCTACCTTTTATAACATTGGACATGGGCAGCTGTCAATAAATTTGCATTTTTTAGGTAAAAAACAAAACACATTCATACAGAAGATAACATCTGACAGTCAAATTTCAGATTCATATACACCAAAACTGCTGGTAGAGATGACTTCCTTACAAGTCATTATCATGAGTCACAACTAATAGACCTCCTTGTTGCATGCTGCCTTCAAGCTGCTGATGGACCAGAGTTCGTCTGCACATGACTTGTGATTACCCTAAAAGCTACAATATTACTTTGGATGACAGATACCAGTTTTGCAAATAAAGATGTGAGTACTTTCCTGGCTTTTGATCACTGATTTGCTATGCTTGCTCTGTCCCCGTCTCTGTATCTATTTATTCATTTATTTAAAGGCACCTGCTTTTGGCTGCTGTTAGGGACATACCACCAGGCTAGATGGACCTTTGTCCTGAATCAAAAAACTTCAGCAACATTGGAATAATGCTCAGCATTTTACTTCTGAAAATCAATGTGCTTCTACAACAACCTCCATGGCAGACCAAGCAAAGATAGATAAAATAAAAGGTTTCATGATGAATATTAAACACAGAAGAGAAAGGGAAGAGGGAAAGAGAATCTGCACAAAGCAAAACGGTAAAAATGTGTCACATGAAGAGGCAAGCTCAGAACTACCCGAGTCACACCAGTTTACTTTTAACACTTGCATGAATTTTAAAACAGATTAAAATAAAAATCAATCCTATCATGGTTACAACAACAACTACAACAAAAAAAGGATCCTGGATTAGTTCAGCAATCTGCAAACACTAATCCAATTCTTCACTCTTAAACATTTACATTTAGTTGAATCCAATAGACTTGGGAAGGACAGAGAAAGGGGGGCGAGGTCTAAATCTTGCCTTTTCTCCCTGGTACTCGGGGCCTTGAGAAAGGTTCCGCAGCTGCTATCCAGCTCCCATCAGCAGGCATTGAGAGGGGACGAGGTTTTCCTAAAGGCAACGTGAAGAAGGTTATGAGAAAACTGAGCTAAATTTGGTAAGTCTTCATTTAAATATTTAAATCTAAATATCATATATAATAAACAAGGAGAGAGATACAGCAATAAGGAGTTAAACTCAGAGAAAAACAAAACAAAACCCCCAAAACACACAAAACAAAATGAAACCAAGGCCCTAAACTATTTCAAGACACAATGACTGGTGAAACAAGGCCATGTCGTATTGAGATTGAACAGGCAAGATCTTGCTCATCTCTAACTCCAATGAACCATACAATGAACTAACAATGACCATAATTTATAACTCAGACTTCACAGAAAAGTACACACAGAAATGGACAACTGTGGCATCAGAGCTCGGCTGAATGACATTCATTAAAGAATTAGTGTTTACGTGAAATTATTTCAGATGTACAATTTAATTCATGCTTACACTTCCCACATGACTACTCCCAATGTTCAACTAGTCCAGTAAGCATTTTTCTCATGCCAAATCTTCTAACTAAATGACATATTTTAGAGTTAGAATAGCAATAATGGAAGAGAAATGAACTCACCATAGGACTGTGTTTTTTCTCTCATTCTGGTTGGTACTATATTTGCTTCTACACGATATCCAGGCAATTGATCAGAATCAGCAATAGTAAATCTTCTCCTTCGACTTTCCTGATCCAGAAAAGAATTCGGAGATTCGGCACCCTTGGACCCACATAGTGGCTGACTGGGTTTGCTGCCTCCTCCATAAACAAAACTCCCCTTTTCATCTCTGCAACGAAATTTTACTTCAATTAGTGACCAAAGGTTTTCACGCTATACATATGTGCATGCTTGAAAGGGATTTCTAAGCTTTCAGTCATGCTCTTCCCCAGCTGCCATTGTTCTGCAAACAAACTGAACAAAAGCTGAAGAGGAAAGCAACGTCAGGTGATGGAAGACTTCATTAAATGTATTTATCAAGGAGAATAGAAAGCTACCCTGTCACACTCACACACCTCTTAAATAAGCCAGTAATGTCATGGCAATGTAATGGAGAAGTTCAGAAGTATATGTACCAATCTCAAAAAAGCTGTTGTGGAATGACAAGCCTTCCAGTCCTAAAGATGTCAAAGCTGTAATTGCTAGGTACACATTCCTAATGGGAGTGTATAGAAGGATTTATCCATCTGTTTGTCATGGGCACATTATCACCTCCATATTAGGGCCTGGGCTTTTCAGCCCAAATGTATATAAACATTTTTGAGCTATTTCTGCAGGAACTCCCTTCCTAGAACAAACACTCATTCTCAGTGGTCAGCAACTGCTATTTTCAGAACCAGTACTTGTTACTACCTCTAGAAGAGAAACACCTTCTTAGTTCAGATTTATCCCATTTTCCCCACTCCTCTGTATGTGCTTCTGCATGTTCATCTTACTGCTTGAAGCAGGCATCAACCAAGTTTGACAAAAACCAGCAACTGACTCTTGACCATACACAGATCCCAATATTCGCAACACTCACCTGGCCAACACATACATTTTTTTCTAGCTCTCCATCAAGACCATTATTCCAACTCAGTACATACACAGTAAAGCTACACCTGAACCATATGTTAACTGGAGAGCTCTACTACACCACCATGTGGAGACTGTGTCTTGGGATGGGAAGACACCTATTGATGCCAGCAGTAAGATGGATGCTAGGTTTCTATAAATGTATGTATTTTAACTAACTTGATTTTTAAAAAATGGGCATCCAAAGTGTTTCTCATGCATAAACATGAAAAACAGAGAGCAATTAAGGTAGGCCCTATTATGGCGAAGTTATCCTACTCTGGAGATCCACCAGACTTCCCTGAAGTATCTCTGGTGCAATATGAGGTGTTAGATCCGTGGAAGTGACCATTCTTCCCACATGAGCCTTTTTGCAAAAGGGAGTCAAGTTTTTGTCTTGAGCTATGTAGTTGATGTGCCAGGGCAGTTCAGGAAGTATCCTCTCCCTGGAAACCCTTTTGGCCTTTGGTCTCCTCAAGTCTCTAGCATCTGTGAGCAAAGACTTGAGAGCAAACACAAGCTAGCCATACCATTACATCTCCCTCCTGTACATACAGGTCTGCTTTTTTATAGTTGACATTGCTGGAAAAATATAAAACCGAATGAATTGACTCTCCCTTCCCTTTAGTGAGAACATTCCTGTGTTTTATAATTTACATGCATAATAATTCAGTGTAAATTCTTTTCTATCCTAATACTTCGTCAAAATAGAGCACTGGAAAAAAAACATTAAAAAATGACTTTATGCTATGTGCAGCTGGATTTAAAAATAAAAGCAAAAAGACAACCCCACAACAAAAAAAGGAATGACACCCATTACTGCTTTGGGAAGCAGTACAACTCTGATCTATATGGCACACAATCTTCTAACAATGAAATCTACTATTACAATCTTATGTATTGAAGCATAAGCTTTAACAAATGTAAGCATTTAAGCAATCAGAAGAAAATGAGATCTGCAGTTTCCTTAAGCTAATTTGCACAGACCTCTAAAACAAGCAAGGTAGCTCAAAACCAAGTATAATAAAAGACTTGTGTTCAGTAGTACGTGTTTACGGCATACCGAGGAGCATATGGAACAGTTGGTGGAGGTGGTATGTAGAGATCCAAAATGGCTGGCTTCTCTTTTTTCAGTGAGGTGTCCATGGTACTTTCTGCTGACTGGGTTGAAGTTGACAGAGGACTGGTCTGAAATGTTAGACAACAACAAGTAGTGCACCATGTTAAACACACAATCTGTAACCCTTGAATATAGTTCACTGCACCTCATTCTGTACAACTCGGTGCCTGGGTCATGGGCATAGGCAGGAGTATGATGATGGTCACTGCAAATTACACAAAGTAAAATAACCAGGGTAGGCAAAGCTACACAAAATATATATTATTACTCATTTGAACAAATCTGCCATTTTATTGTTGTTTTATTGCATTACATTCTTGTCTCGCTTTTAGACATCCAGAGTTTCAGGTAATCAGTTTAGATTCAATTAGATTATTTCCTCCTGTTAAGTAAGAAGTCCAACGCTCCCTTATATAACCATTTTGAGGAATGGCGTGTTATTTAAGAGTTGTGAACTTCAACTTCCTCACTACTTGTTACCTAATCTATGACCTACCCAACATCCAAATCTTGTTTCTGCAAATAGTTTGAAAATCTCCCCACCCTACACTGGACTCAAGAGAGCAAATATCTTGAATAACCTAAGTAACTTCTGCAAAACTCTACTACTTGGGAAAAAAAGGGGAAGCATTTATTACTCCAAGCTGATGAATTCCATACATATCAGCAGCTTTACTTCAGATAAGTTCTAAGACCAGTGCCAGAGCAACCAGTTAAAATGCTCAACACACCTAGTCTCCTTGTGTATTAAGAGGGCATGATCTGGGTGAAAAAGGAGAAACATTCCTCCTTTTATTGAGAATGTGGAGAGGACAGCCGTTTCACAAACCTCCTCGAGCTGCACTTAACACACACGTCCTTGGGGAGCATTTCTGCTAGTTCTATTTCAGATCCAACACTAAGGCACCTGCACCCGGGCACTACAGCTGATGCCCAATCTTTCACCTGCACCAGGGGCGGTTTCCAGCGCAGGTTCTTCAGCGGAGCCGGAGCGAAATTGAAAGAGCCACTGGGCCGCTTCTTAAGCAGGAGCCTAACGCCAGCAGGATTCTCTCGCAACTTCCCCACCAGGTTTTTCAGTTGCCATCCCACCTTGAAGAGAATAAAGACATCTTTTATTTAGTGGCGCTTTTCTGGAAGTCAATCTGTTTATGTATGAAACCAATGACAAAAAAAAAAAATTAAAAAAAATCCCACAATTAAGACAAAATTGGAAGGAACAACAAAAAATTCTGAATCTCCTTTTTGGGGAGTTTTTTGTTTGTTTTGTCTTGAAAAAAGAGAGTTCTTTAAGATTAAACACAGATTTTGGGCACTGCTGTTTATACCTCAGGTCCAGTCCTAGCAGGACGCAGGAATGTGCTCAAGTGGAGCAACACAGGTGTTCACTCAGAATGAAATTGCTTTATCTGTGTTAAGTACAAATGTACTCATTAAAGTTCCCAGCTGCGAACTATTTGAAGAATACTTGATTTTTTAAATTGTTTTTATTTGCATTCTTGTAGATTGAAAAAAATGTAACAATTTATAGTCTGCCTTAAATGCAGTGTGGAAGATTTTAATAAATATTGTATGCACACAATGAAACACTGCAAGAATTAAGAAAAAAATTGCAGCTAAGTACAAACTGACATGAAAACAATGCTAAAAACCCTAAAATTTTTTCAACAGAAAACACCAGAAGGGCCCACATGTCACAAAGCTGTTATCCATTTAGAATTGCCGAGGAAAGAGAAACGATCATATGGAAAGGTTGGTAAGGCAATTTATTACTAACCACAGTTTGCCGATTAACCTGGATCACTTCATCACCAGCATGAATCTTCTGAGATCGATCAGCAGGGGACTACAAAGCAGAAAACAAAAGGCATATGTTTCAATAGTCATTTTCCCTTCCCATCACATCCCCAACCCAGGTTACGTTGAAGGCTGTGGATTTGACAAAAAGAGAGTCACTGAAAATCTCCATACAACTGCATCCTACAAAGAGCTATGCTATATCCACCAATAATGACACATGCCAAAGAATGCAACTTATGGTTTGCTTTTGATACTGGGAGAACTGAAAATAAGCGGAGGAAAGGACATGGCCTACATCCTCACAGGCCAAACTGTACTCAGATCACGGGACCAACTTTGCTTTCCTTCAGCTGGAATTTATACCATTGTTTCAGACGGATGACTAAAGAGGGGACTGCTGTCCTTAACATGTCCTAACACACAAACTCTCTGTAAACTTTGTTTTTAAGTGTATACTAACACAAAAAAAAAAAAAAAAAAAAAAAAAAAAGAAAGAAAAAAACTCACTAAAGTTTTGAATGTGCAAGACAGGAGTAAAATCTCTTCAAAACACAAAACTGGACCATTTACTAATGTAAACAAGAGCTGCCAACTTTAACATGAAGTTATCTGCCCCCATTAAGGTCAACAAATAAAATGTGTTTGTACCACATCACACGTACTTACATACATGGTGAATAATACCCCTAAACCACTTTTCTTCTTGAAACAAAAGTGAAAAACAACCCAAGCTCTGGGGAACCATCAGGAAGGAACGGCGAGTGACATGTGTCAATATTTAGTTAGACTTATCTACAGCAGGTACCATGCACCAGCTATTACTGCTGTTACTAATAACAGCTTTGCTGCCATAATCTGCCACTCCTGAGCAGCCTTGACAACACACAACCTGCACAGGCCTATCAGCATAGGAAACCACAGGGATAAACCACGGGGACAGAGCCAAAACTACTTCTCTATTTTCCCCTGTGCACCTGGTAGCCATCCCACCATTTCTTCCCAGTGACTCTGGAATTGGCCATCAGGACTAAGGAAGGACTCCTGCCCCTCCTTACCAACCCTTCAGAACTGAAGCAGCAGTTTTATTTGAAGGAACTGCAGGAATAAACTGTGCAACAAGGGAAGACGTGGGGGAATTTGAGGGAGGCTCCAGCTATCCTGAGTAACCCCATTTCTTCATTGTCTTCTTGCTTCCTTTGCAAGGAAATGCCTCTGTGGAGGGCTGTGTATACATGATTCAGCCAAGACTATAAAATATTGTGTGCCACAGTTATGCTTGTGGAAAACAGTGCTTGTTCCAGGCTGTCCCCTGGGTGATCAGCAGCAGCAGCAGGGTGGGGGGTCTCGGACAGAGGGCTGCTCTCGCAGCCCAGCTAACACCGTGGATGCTGCAACTGCACCCCGAGAGCAGAGGAAAGAGCAAAGTTTAGAGCCAATGCAACTCGGGACACAGGCAGGGAGGCTGAAATGAGGAATCCTCACAGGTGACTGGTGTCAAACGCATGGGCTTTCCCACTCCTTTTAGTGTGCACAACTGTTACTTTTCAGTGCAATTCCACTGTGTTCCAATAAAGGGTCTTTTGGAGACAGCTACTACAATACCATTCCAAGGCTAAAGAGAAAATGGACCTATGGTCCAGCCTGATCAAAATGATCCCGTGCAGTCAGAAAAACATCATTTGTAGCTCCCCCTCAGTTTTTCTTCCCCCAAAGAGGACAGTCTCCCCCAAAGAAGAATTAGCATTTATACGCAAGCTGAAGTCCTGGGCTTTGGTTAACACTCAAGAAGCAAGACAACTCTGCTCACAGCCTCCAAAATAAAATCTATGCGCACAGGGAATCTGGCAGCACTCAGTGCTACGTTCTTTCAGATTTATTTGATCTCAAAACGGACTGGGTCTGTGTTTCAGATCCAACGCTGAGTTATACCAGGCCAACAGGATTACAAACTGGCATAAAAGCTTTCAGTTTTCACTATGACCTGCAGGCATAGATTTCTACCCACTCCTCTCCAGCCCCTTCAGCTGCCAAGCATGCAACTCAACTCACTGGTTCTTTTTCCTCAGCAGCTTTTAATTTCACTCCCTGCTCTCGCAGAGAGGCATTGCCAACAATGTCACAGCATCATCTACGAGCCTCAATCATCAACCAGAGGTTCACTGAGCTAACTTTGGCAGAGAAGCCTTGAATAAAGCATCAGCTACTAATAACAAGCAGCCACCTATGGCAAAAGAATTCTGCTATGCGTATCACGCTGACCATTTCCTTCCAGTAGACTGCTCCTAAAGTCCTACTTTTTTGTCATCTTTTTAGGCTGCACAGTAATTTTGTCACTGGACAGTTTGTTGACTTCATCACTCATTATTGAATTCAGCATTTTGAGGTTTATATATTCTTATTAGGACAAATTTCCTTTACCAAAAGAGAGCAAATGGATACTTCCAGACTTAATTAAGCAAGACACCATAAGCTCTCAGAACAGATGCAGTATTTCATTAAAGTAACTATTCTAATACCAACTGCTTCAAGCATTTAGAAGAATTTCAAGCATTTACAAGAACTGACTTTAATTAGACTAACAGTAAAACATTCAGGCACAAAGTGTCTACAAATTCTGGATAAACCATTGTATTTAAAGTCCATACTTTAAAGTCCATAATCCATAGTATTTAAAGCAGTAATACACTGACAGTCAGACAAAATAAAAATATAATAGTGAGGAGGAAAAGCGAAAAAGAGAAAAAAGGGTGGACACTTAAACTTTATCAAAACAATATTCAGATAGTCTGAGATAAGCTACATGAACTTCACTTACGTTTTCTGTAGTTCCAGTAATTACATGCAATCCATCATAAGTTGATTTGATGTACATTCCCTAATATAAGCAGAAAAATGAAGAACAAGTTTAAGGATTAAAAACAAACCTATGCAATATATCCAATCATGCAATAATTCAGACTCAGAATTATCAAAAACCCTCAAAAATTCACATTTCTTTCCCTCAGAAAAAAATATATGCAATCTAATATTACATTCTAAGTCTCAGTGTTTTTCTAATTTGAGGCATTGAAAATTTTGAAATCATGAGATCAACTGAAATCTTACAGCTTATTTTTTATAATTCACTTTACTGTCATATAACATTTATCTCTAAGACACAGAATGCAGTTTAATGCTTGCAACCTTAACCCTATTTCAGCTGTGTTTATAGCATTCAGTCTTGAACAAACTTTTAATTTTTTTATGACCCTGCCCACACTGCAGCATTACAGATTTTACTAGGCAGCCACTAGCTCCTTCCATAAAAAGCACGTTTATATAGGCAGACTACGGATCATATACATGTTCTTTTGCACTTTCTCTTATCAAGTCAAAACACAAGTGATCTCCCAACCACAATTCTGACGTAAGCAGTAAAAGCTCTAGCAGAACTAATTACTTGTGGCTCTGCTTGGTAATGCTGAATGCAAGTGCAAGGGCAGATGCAGACGGGGTCAGTGTTGATCGTATGAACACTACAACAGAGATCACTATCAAGCTATTAATAATTACATGTGAAATATTTCCTCTGGAAAGGGGATCAATTTGGCTGATTGGTCTATCCAATTCCATGTACTACTTCCTCATTTTTTATCTAGTCTAGTCAAGCTGACATTATTTTCTTGTGATTTGTACATTAATAAAGAGGGACCCAAAATTTCAAGAATGCGTGACTGATTTGGTCTAATCCAGTGACTTATGTAAAACTATAGCACAACAACGCTGTAAAAGTTCTCTTAAAGAGTGTTCAACTTTTTTTTTTTTTTTTTAAATATAAATGCACTTTATCAGAAGTGCCTCCAGGACTTTCTAAACACGTACATTTCCCAGACAGCATATTTGTCAATATTTGTCAAGATTTTAACTTCAGTTCTCATAACCAGGACTCAGATGAGTGGAATGCACTGAGCAAAACACTCAGTAATATTAATATTATACAATACAAAGACACTGAACAATTTTTAAAAAATCTCATATTCAAGCTAACAAAAACCTCTAAACCTCTCAATTCTTCACAGACTGGCTATAAACAAAAATGTGTCCTTCAAAAGCACAAAGTCCTCCCCAACCACTGATGCCCTCACATTGAATCCTTCAAGTTTTTTCCCCCCCTTGCCTCTTGTTATTCCCTGCAGGATAGTCGCAGTTCTGAAATACACAGCTATACTTCTGCATGCAGCAGCTTGCAGGAGCACCTATTGACACCAGGCTCAGCAGGACCCTCCAAAATTGGTTCTTACCAGGCCCTCCCCAGGTTTAATGTTGGTCAAGTGAACCTCCTCCAGACAAGCACACTGGCTCATTAACGGATCCGTAGTTGATCGGATGGCTTTATCACAAATTCCATTTAAAGTCTTCGACTACAATGAAAACATAAAAAATGTTTTAGAAGATTTCTTCCAGCTTCCTCCAAATTCAGTTTTCAATAATGGAATGGAAAATAGCTCTAAAATTTGATTTGCTAATACAGTGAAATTAGGAATCAGTGAAATAGAAGATTGATTTCTACAGCTCTCATCTACGGCATGCTTGTCTTTCTACAGGACAGGAGATCTGATTCCACTAGTGTCAACTCATTGACAGGTGACAGCACAACCGGTGTTTAAAAAGAAAAGAAAACGTTCAATACACATAATACAGAAAAGGGGGTTGGGTTTCCTTGGCTTGGGCACAAACATAACCCATTAAAATGATCAAATACTTTCATGATTTCTTGTGGCAACTATTAACACTTTCCTAATGTTCTTCATTTTTACTACAAGAATAGTCTCGTAACAAAATTGTCTGCGAGTCATTAAAAATGACCTTGCTGACCACTGACTTATTTGACTTATTTACACACAAAGTTTTACAACATAAAGGTAAGACATGCAGCATTTAAGGGTTTCAGAATTACTTTTCTCCTTCATGCCTCTGAACTGACCTCTTCTGGAATGCTTACTCAGCCAAGGCTCGTATTTCCTTTTGACCAAGACATAATTGGTCCTAAGCCAGCATTATAACTAAAGACAAATTTTGACCTTCTCTGCTAGTGTCAGTGAAGTCAAAGGTAGAAGGGATTTCTCTTTCAAAAATTTTAAGCATAAGAATGGCTAATTATTTAGAAAAAAAATACTGTATTTGAAAAATCTGAGGCTTCTCTAAACCTAGAAATTTCACTAATGCCCCACGGTGGTTTTTTTTGGATCTTGTTGTAAACTGGAACAATACTGACATTTAAAGTAACTTACAAAAAGTATATGGGGAGGTGAGGAGGGTTTACTACACAGTAGGCTAGTTATTTATAACCTATTTGGGAACCAGCAAAGTAAGTCACTTTCTATGATTCTATGATTCACAAAGGGATTAGAATTTGCCTTCAATACAGAGTGTAAGGAGCACTGCTGGTGGGGGAAGACAGTTCTTTGGGACCACAATAGTCCCTGGAAACAATAGTTCCAACCGCTCTTTTTGGTTTGTTTTAAATCTGATTTGTAGAGCAACAATAAAACAAATCAAAACAATATGCGAGTGTGAATACGAGGAACTGCTCAAACAAGGGAATTCCACACAACAATACCTATTCCAGCGTGGGTGTGCATAAAAGGAAAAAAGAAAGCAGCAAAAAACTCCCTTTTACGTGGTCCCTTTATTTATGGACCAAATTATTTTTAGTTATTGTGCTACTAAATTCCTAAGCATCTATGACCTAGCGGAAGGCCTTATCAAAGAGCACAGCCTGGTTCATGTCAAAAGCAGGAAGCGATGATTAACTGTTATAAAATATAAAAAGCATTCCACTATGGTCCTCATTTTGTCACAAGGCTGCTTCAAACAGATTTTGAAAACTTAGATGTTTCAGGCTCAAGTAACATTAGACAGAGAATTTTAATTCTATAGGCGGGATAGTTCTTTTAGAAGAATCATAATAAGGCACAGTAGCAATTTATACAGGCACTAAATATTTCATGATGCACACCACAGGCAAACTGGCTTATTTAGGCAATTATCATTCTACATTCCGTGCTTTTAAAATTTGAAGTTTGCATTCTCTTGGAAAAAGTAGCTATGCAATGAAGTTTAAGGAGTATGTGAGCAAGGAAGTTTAAGGAATATGTGAACTAGTGCTGCACACGCACACACACAGAGTCCACTGAATAACTACAGTAAAAGGTATTCATAAGACAACCCACAGAGATATTTTATTGAATGATACATATGGATTGTACTATGTCACACATATAATTAGGTTAGAAATCACTGAAATTATGTGAATGCATGCAGCTGAACTTCAACAGAATTTCATACTTACTACAGCTTGAACTTTATCTTCCATGTCAGCCACAGTGCAATCCTAAAAAGCAACAACAAGAAAAAAAAAATACCTTTAACACACATTAACCTTGACCTGAAATAAAGTTGTTCATGCTGGAGGGATTAAACAGATTAGTTTCACCTGGCAGGACTCAAGTGTACTGTTCAACAACTATTTTCTGACCATGGCAGAAAGCAATAATAAACCTTTAAAGCTAAGGGAACATGGCATTCAATTACAGCAGCAGACTTTTGCTGAAAAGCTGAGCTGTGCACAATAAAGCCTGAAGAAAGTAAGGCACAGAAGCCTGTCTTACACATCATAGACACCGATTCCAGAGCTCCTTCTATTTGAGACATCAAAACAGACCTAAAATATATTTGTCAAAAGAGCCTCAGTGATTTATAAAATATGCTATTGATGACATTCATGAAGGCCAGGGGACTGTACACAAAGAATAACTCACACAGCTCAGGTACACAAGTCTCTGAAATGAAACAAGTTCATTTAACAGAATACAGAAGTAGTCATTGTTCCCTCTAAGAACAGCTAAGCCAGAGAACAGTATTAGATTCCGAGATTAAAAAGTTAAAAAACAGCAGGTAAATAATGAAACAAGACTTATAATATTTAAAAGGTGTGGGGGAAAAAAACTCCAAGCATTTAAGCCACCCAAGATACCAGCCTCTCGGTAACACCTCAGCTTGCATTTGAAGCTGTTCCACAGCTCTTGGCCCCTCTGCTCTTCCATTTTAGCACTATATTGTACTTTTGAAGATAGAAGACCAGCAAAAAAAAGACAACTTTCCAAATATGGACATCATAAGGATATATATAAAATAACACAGCTGTGTGTTCCTAATAACTCTTAATAACCTATTCACAGTTGTGATGACCAATAAGGCCTGACATAACATTTTCTACAACCTACCACCAAAAGGTGGAAGATCTCTCCTGAACACTAAAACCAAATTTAGTCTCCATCACTGTGGAACAGCATTGTTTTTTCTCTACTAAACTTGTCTGCATTAATCAGTACTGAATGCCATTTATCAGCATGTAGTTCAGTTACTTAGCACTGTAAAATCCTTCTGCACCCCTTCAGCTTAATCTACACTGTTTACTATTTCATCTGCAAAGTTTTCCATAAAACCCTAAGAAAGACTGGACTAAACTCTGTTCTTAGCATCCATTCCTCTGTCATTGAAGTGAACTGGAATTTTACTGCTATCCCATCTGACCTCATTATTCGCTCCTTTCTAGACATCATTAATGATTATGCAGAGCAGCACAGATCCCATGAGAGCCATACTGCTCTCTTCTCCACTGAGAGAATTGACTATTTATTCCTACACTATATTTCCTAATAATACTTAAAAGCTTTTGAAATCAAAAAATTCACCTAAAGTATAATCAGCTGGGTCTCTCTTTTCCACATCCGTGGATTTCCAGGAATTCTAATTCCTTTGCAGTATCCCATAAGAAATAGCGCTGATTCTTCTCTGTGGCTATATTTTTACTTCATGTACAACAATGCCATTCTTTATCAAATTGGCATAGATGCTTTTGTAAGAGGCTAGGATTGTATTTGCCAACTTCCATTCCACTGCCATTAAAGGCTGATCTACCTGACAGATTAGACACCATTTTCAGTAGTTTTATTAATACAGTTCAACAATTTCATATCTCAGTTCCTGTATAGCTGTAGCGCCAACACCATCTGGTACTGGAAACAGTGCTCTACTTTACCATCTGTAAATCTGTAACTGTAAATCACTGACTTTCTACAATGGTGCATGCAGTGCCAAAGGAAGACAGGCTATCAGCAATCAACTGTGCCTTTAAAGTTATAGGGGGTAGTTATTATCCTTTGGCAATCCTGTTCGTGTAACTGGGTGCTACCACGACTTGACAACTCACATGACCCTGTGACATGATCCCCAAAGAGGAGGGAGTGAACCACCCGCTTCACAGGATGGGTTTCTTCCAAGTTTTAACACTACATAGCCATGAACTAATAGCTTTGAGCAAATTCTGCAGAAGCTGAAGCATGCAAATAACAGTTCCCCCAATAAAGTGGAGACATAGGGTCTGAACAGTTTAGAAGCAGTATTCCCCAGAGAAGGATTTGAAACACAACACCATGGTCTCACACTACTGGGTAGCAGCTCCTTACATTATATGCAGCATTTCGCATGTGAAGTCTACAACAATAGAAATTGGACCTAAAAGTGCTAAAAAAGTCTGAGATAATGGATTGGGTAGCCAATGTAGTTATGTGAACTGTAATTATGTTTATTAGAATTATCACTGGTAATTCAACTTGCTCTTTGGAAGTGCACAATTTCCAAATGATGAGCAACCATGTCAAGAACTCAAGCATCTTCTTACTACAGCTCAAGAAAACACGAAACAGCAGTCACTGCAGATGCAGCCAACAGCAGCAAAACTGAAGCTGAATGATCAAGAAACATGACCTCAGAAAAAAATGGGGCAAAGTGGAACAGACCTTTTACAGACTTGTTCAAGCTTTGAAGGAAGCTCTCAATTCCTTCCCTGTCTTCTAACTTGTACTCTGCACACACTTATCACAGCTACTTCCCCAAACACCCTTCCTTCCCTTTTGGAAAGCAAAGGGGAAAAGCAGTCAGCTGACCTTCTGAACAGTAGTAGTGAGATCCAAGCAAAGCTGAATGATCCTGTTCTTCATTGAGGAAAAGTCTGCAATACCTGTGAATGGGGCCCTGCAACAAGACAAAATTCCAGGGTGAGCTGCCAGCAACAGTGCACAGGGGAGGACCAGGTGGAGGCACAAGCTGTCAAGTGTCACTGCCAGGAAACAGAACCAATTCCCAGCTGAAAAGCAGCCATATTTCAGGATAAAAGTTCTCCTTGCTGACAGGCCCCATACAGCTCTCCTGCTAACCTTCCTTCTCAGGAAAGCTGGCAAAGGGCTGGAGAATTTACGTTGCTCCATTATCCTGTCCAGCATCACGGCCAGGACACTATCAGCTCTCCTGCCTGCTTGCTTCCGCTGCAGCTGTCACAAAACACCTGATCTTGCCAAAGAAAAAAGAAAAAAAATTGCAGAGAGGAAGACTCTCTTCAGCTCTATTATTTGAAAAACAGAGCAGCAAAGATCACCATTTCAGTAAAACAAAATTCTTTTAACACAGGAGCTGCTGCTGATGGCTTATTCGGGGGATAAGCCATCCCCTGAATGGCTTAGTGGGGAGAAGATAAAGTCATGCATGTCCGAAACATCTCCCCCACCTTTATAAATACAAGTTTAGATGCAATCTTCCAGTTACCAGTTGTAGCAAAGGTGAAAACCTGGGGGTAGATATACCCTAGGTACCTTGCAGCTAGAAACTACCTGGCAAGCAGAAATAATTCATTATACCAATAAATGAAAATATGAGTATTATTTTACCTGTCCAGCCATGCAAGCAGGGCCTTAGCAGCACCAATAAGCTCTACCACAGATGTCAGGAATTCATTGGGAGGCTTGCGCGAGGTATTGCCATCATAATTGGCACTTTTCCTTCGGCTGCTGATGTAATTCTGCAGGTTATTGGAGGATGCTCGGAGTTTGAGAACCAAGTTCTTCATGTTGTCCGTTTCAAGGCCATAGTTCTGCAAGAAGCATTTTTAAGTTTGATGAATCTCCCTATAAAGATCCCATTCATTATTCCACAAGTATTACTCCACAAGTTACAAACTCAGTGGAAATTTAAAGTTTGAGAATTTGCCCTTTTTTTGGGGGGGGAGGGGGAGAAGAATATCAATGCTTTCATTTGATAGACCTAGCTCTTTTACTGAAAGTACCATTTTTCTACCCACCTTTTCATAACATTCAAGACTCTACACTGCCTTTTCCACATTGAGAAGTCCTACACTCTTCATTTACTTTGCAAGTTATCCCACACTACAGCCACTAAAAAATATTGTAGATGCCAAAACCCCTCAAATTTTTACAGACACTAAAAGAGATTAAGGACATTCCACAACTACAGTGAAGTCCCAAAGTCCTATCAGATGTTGTTTACTTTTCAAATGCAGTCAAAGAGTTCTTTTTTTGGATAAAGGAAAGCAAAAGCTGTTTTCTCTTTAAGTGTGTGGGTTTTTTCTTTTTTTTCTTTTTTTTTTTTTTTTTTTTTTATATATTGTGGTACACAAACACTAAGGTTACATTTCACTCACAACTAAAGACAAGCTTAAATTGGCAAGAGATAAACACACCTACAGGAAACAAATTCAATTTCACAGCCAAAATATCTGCATCACAATTTTTCAGTAACTGTGTTTTTCAATAGAGCAATAAAAATTATTTTCAAGTTAGTGCACTCAATGTTACCACACAGAAGTTTTAAACAACACGTTCATCACCTCATTCCGAGCACAGGATGAACACCATAACTTTTCTGAAGACAACTCAATTTTTAAGTCAGGATTTTCTTGCTTTTGCTATGCATGCACACATGTTTGCATGTACATGTGTGTGCACAAGTGAATTTGCTTTTGATTGCTTCCACCCTTGATGAGCTTTTTCTGAAAACTACGTCCCTGCAAATGCTCAGCTCTTTCAGAATGAAGCCTCCTACTTTTCTCCAACTCTCCCAAAAGAAAACAACAACAACAACAACAGTCTTCCTCATTTCTCTTGCTGCCACAGGTTCCTGTAACCAATCCCAAAGCTCCCAAGTTTTACCAGCTATAGTCGTGTTTTTCTCTTACCTCCCCCTCAAAAGAAAACCTAGATCAGCTAAACCTGAACTCTGCTCAGCTTGGGGTTCCAGAAGCAAACCCAGTCTGTCAGTGTCTTTCCTACGCTGGGGTGGCAGGAACACACAAGGCTGCACAGGGCACTCCACATGAAGGCTCTCACGTGATGAGTAGAGGGAAATCATCCCCTCTCTCAGAGGATCCCTTGGCCGTGGAGCTGTGCGCATGGCCCAGGATGCTTCCAACCTATGGTGCCCAGGGACACTGCTGGCCCACGTCCTACGCTGACCCGTGAGAGACAAAGAACAAGTCAAGCAATATCTTGGTGCTCCCTGCCGAAACACAGGATTTCTCATTAATAACAAAAAATAAATAGCTAAGAAAAGAGAGAATTCCACACATACCATCACTGATTCTCCTCGTTTCCTAACTGTGGGACCAACCATTGTTAACTCTTCACCAGGAGCACTGCCTCCCTTCAACCTCTGTTCTGCACAGGCACCGCTAACTATTTCCGCGGCCAAAAGCCCATAATAAAGCCCGGAATAGTTTAGACCGAGAAAGTTATGGAAAGCGACCCAGAGCCCTTGCCCCACAAACACACCAGTGTAAAGCGGAAATTTCAGCTCTTGGGCTGCCTTTAAGGTACCTCTCACCTCCTATGGATGCGAGCACAGTGAGTGTCAATTACACAAGCGCCCCCTCCTTCCCGCAGGAGCTCTTGGCAAGGAAATGCTGGTGAAGCACAGCCAGGAGCAGGGGTTGGGAGGATGTATCCAAGAAAACAAACACTGCTGCAACAGCAAAAGGATATCCTTAAATTTTACTGCATCACGGAGAGGGAAAAACTTGGGACAACTAAACAATATTGAAGTACACACACACTGCAAATATAAACTCATCACTCCTGAAGATCTGCAAAAGCAATTCCCATGGCTCCAAGCACCTACAATTGCACACAGGACACGGTGGAAGAGTACTAGGGATCTTCCCGCATTAATCTACTTCAGTCTTTGGCTTCATTCTTGGCTTCAGTGACATACTGGAATGTGAATATCTACATCACTTTAACCCTTCCTCCAGTAATTTCTTAAATGCATTTATGGCACATTAATTTTTATTTTCACAGAACTTTAAAAGTATCAGCCATTTATCTTCAGTAAACTGGCAGAAAACAAAGATCTTTACCTTTCTAAACTGGAAAAAAGAGATTCAGTAAGTCAAAGAGCTAAAGAATTAAGGATTATAGTTAAAGCATTGCTGGCTCTCTGTTCTGCACTGCAATGCAATTCAGAGTTTGATTACACATTTTGATATCCAGGTCAAGTTCTGTTTTGTCCTAGAATATTTGCATTCCACATTTCTCTCACCTTATTTATGCAAAGGGTCAGTTCAGTGACACCTGCCCAATTCGGTTTGTTTTTAAAGAATTTTAAAAGCCTTAGAAACAAAAATGATCTCGACAATCCAAAACACCTTCTACTCCAAAAACAAGTTTCTTGACCTCTTGCTCTACTGTACAGAAAACACTACAACACTCCACAAAACAGACCCGTACCTTCGTGCTCATTTCTCTCTTTGATGACAAAGAGGGAAAACGATCAGTATCGACAAAACCACCGTACTGGGCTGTGATTGTGTGTGAACTGGCAGTACCCGACCACCTCACACAACCACCTAGCAGGGCTTTTTTTATGGGGAGCACCACTCCGGCCTGTCCCAAACAACCATCCCATGATCACACACACAACTTCCACCTCTTTCACTAAATACTGCTATTTCTCTGCCTGTCCAAGACAGCCATCCGGTGAGCACGTATCACAGAATCATAGAATCACAAAATGCTTAAGGTTTGAAGGAACCTCAGAGGTCATCGAGTCCAACCCCCTGCTCATGCAGGGTCACCCAGAGCAGGGGGCACAGGGCTGCGTCCAGGCGGGTTTTAAAGATCTCCAAAGAAGGAGACTCCACAACCTCTCTGGGCAGCCTGTGCCAGGGCTCTGTCACCCTCACTGTCCGAAAGTGTTTCCTTAAGTTCCTGTGGAACTTTTGGTGCCTCAGTTTGTGGCCGTTTCCTCTAGTCCTGTCGCTGTCCACCACTGAAAAGAGGCCGCCCCCTCCTCCTCACTGCCTCCCTTGAGGTATTTATAGACACTGATCAGGTCCCCCCTCAGCCTCCTCTTCTCCAGGCTGAACAGGCCCAGCTCTCTCCGCCTGTCCAAGACAGCCATCCGGTGAACGCACGCACGCGCACACACACACACACACAAAACCCCCATCTCTTCCACTAAATCCTGCTCCTTCTCGCTCGGTTTGGCGCCCTGAAGCAGCTCACCTCAGGGTCAGCCTAGCGCACGCACTGACATGGCTAATCAGAGGATGGGAAGAGGGCGGAGGCTGCAGCTGACCGGGCTTAATTCAAGTTGTCACTGAGCAGCAGCCTCGCTTTGCAGCAGATAGGAATGCTGATAACGCGGCGTTGTAGCAGGGTGCACACACAGCCATGCCAGGTGAAGTGCAAAGTTTAGCAGTGTTTTTCCCCTCCCGACCAAGGACCTCTACAAAACTGGGGCTACCAGAGCTAACAGATTATTATTTAAACAACCAAATGGATTTACGTGCTGCTTGTGAACCCAAGGCACGTTACGCTTTCCTATCACTCCTGATTTAAAACATCAAAGTTGCTTTCATCAAAACGTAGACTAAAGCCAGCGGTCAAGAACACAGTATGTCAAACATTCCTACCTCGTTACTCATTAACCTGGGTAGCCACAAGTAAGACTAAACCTTGAGAAAGACACTAGGGCTGGAGAGAGAGAATGAGGCAAAAAGCAAGAATGAGAGAGAAAACACGCATGTGTGAATAAGAGCACACTTGAGGGATCACTTTTTCAAAACGCTGTCATATTTAATACAAAATAATACACTGATCAAATAATTACTCAAGTTCAGGCAGCTAAAGAAAAACAAACAAAAAAGGCAAAAAGAAAAGGAGGAAAAAGAAAAAAAGCTGTGTTTAGTCAAAGCCAAAGGAGCACAGCACTCGTGTCACAGCTGCCTTGGGGAGATGGACACCTCCGCTGCTGCTGAAGGGACAGTCCCACCTTTGCTTCAGGCTCATGTGCCACAGCGTGGCGAGCTGGATCTGCTGGCTGATCCAACTGAAAATCGGCTTTGGGGGAAAAAAACAGTGGTAAAAATGGGCTGAACACCCATTCAAAAGCTGATTCAGCTCCCTATCCGTCTGCGTAAACATGAGGACTAATACACAGCACTGACACAGCCACTAACTCTTGCTTAGTTTAAGAAAAATGCCCCCAATGCAAATTCTCTCAGGTCTCAAATCTCTTCATGAACCGCATTAAATTTGACTTGAGACCTCCAGAAAACTGAACTCTTGCACAGCAGCACATACACATGGCACTTTCAACAAGTAATAGCCACAGTGATCCGTATCTATATGCAAGCTACCCAGTTTAGAATTTAAAGGATCTTTGTAACTTCTAAGGTAATTTTAGAATACTTTTCACTGAGATGACAATATTAAGAATTTTAAGAGTACACTATTATGTAATTACTTGGTAGGGTGATTTTGAGTTATGACATACCTTGCTCCAATGCAAACACAGTTGCAGAATGCTACTACTAGGGAAACTACTAATGCACACTACGTGAAAGAATGCAAGCTTCTCCTTTCCAAAACCTGGCTTACAACCCAAAATTTATTTCTCCTAAACTGCAGGAAAACCAGGTTTTGTTTTTTTTTTTTTTATTCCAGACTCTCCTCTCATACTGCACACTTCAAGGTTCAGAAACCTAATTCAAAGAACATATTCAAAGTGAAACTATTTCTGTTTCATTCCCTATTAAGGCTTGCATTGTTTTATGTTCACTAATACCAAACAGATAAATCTACTCATCAAGGAATGCGCAGTATGAATTCACCGCTGCTTTAGATGCTTTTTGCTCCATTTAAATATACTGGGAAAGCTTGTTTTATGGATCCCTGCCCCTGCTGCTGTGGTTTAGCATGAGTTTGAAAAACAGGTGTATGTATATTTGTTGGCTTCCCTCACTCCCAAATACTTCAACTAAGGAATGTCTTCCTCCCTCCCTCCCATTCTCTCCCTCAAGCAAATATTGTCAGATTTCCTTACCATTTCACACACAAAAAAAGCTGGAGACACTCAAGCCAACGTGTTTTTCCCCTCTGAGAACTTCATTTTCCTTAACCTGTCCCCTGCACTCCTTAAATAAAAGCCTTCTCCACCTCTTTAGAGCAGCTTCTTAGACAAGCTCAAAAGAACAGAGATGCAGGCTCACAGGCAACCTTCACCTTCAGTCTGAGCACTTTCTCATTCCCTCTTCAGCTGCAGCTTTGCTGCATGTATTCATGTTAAGAAAAGACAAGGGAACACTGCCTAACAAGCAGCACAGGTAGAGATGCATACACAGAGAGTACTGTCAAGTGCAGGAAGGAAACACAGAGATGCTTTAATCTTTCAGTTATATCCTCTAGAGATTGTTTACTGGAGCAGCAAACACTAAATTGGAGATGTGTCATTTTCAGCTTGTCATAGAGGGCTCCATCTCTACAATAAACCCTAAAAAGCTGTATTATGTGTCCTTCCTCAGAGCACCCACTCCCTGCACAATGTCCTGTTTCCATTGACATTATCAGGCTGGAAAGTTCCTTATGGTCAATGCTTTGAAAAAAGTTACCGTGTTAAGAGACAGATGCTCCAAAACCAGCTATTTCCACTGCCTTTATGGACTCAAAAGTTGCGTGATTCAAAACACCTATGTGAAAGAGGCTCAGCTGAAAGAAAGCCCTTGAAAGAAAAAAAAAAAAAAAAAAGGAAAACAAACAAAAAACATTTTCTCTAGGAAAGGAGAATCCATTCTGCAAGTCCTTCTCCTGAGTGCAAGAAAAACAGCTTTCAAAAGCTGACCTCAGGCTGGCCTGAACTCCACTGTATGAAGTGAGCAGTCAAAGTTGCAACACAACTTTCAGACTGCCTTTGCTTTTTAATTCAAAGTCCCTAAGTTTATGGAAATGACAAGAAAAAAATCAATAATCCACTTTCAGGGAACACTTATGGACAAAGGAAATTCTATCTTCTCACTGAAAGAGTGAGCTAGCAAAATAAAATACGGGTTGTCACCAGAACTGAGAACATACCCTCAGGAACAAAAATCAACACTGACTTTCTACAACAATCCCTTTCCTAAAGCTTGGAGGGAAGCAACATTAAGAAGGTGACAAAGGGCACAGCTAGAACACAGGATTTCTTCCTCTGCCTCTTACAAAGAGAACAAGGACATTCCAGATACCATATAGAAACTCTGTCTAATGCATTAACTTGAACTGCTTTTCACTAAGGATTTCCAGAAACGAATCTGAGGTCAAAACTTCTGTCTACTAAGGAAATTAGAAGGAAATTGTAGGAGATAAAACACAGCTTCGGGTTCTGGCAGTGTTCCAGCTTTGTTCTTTTTATTCTCATATTTTAAAGAGTAAGAAGAAAAATGTGCCTTCAGGGGCTACCACATCCATTACATCTGTCAAGACTGTATACAGTATGTGGTACATTTTCTAATTCACCAGACTCCTTCATTCACCTCAACAGATTATCCCCTCCCACAGCACGAATCGCTTTTCAGGCTAATTTCATTCTTTTATTAGATTTCCAACTTAAAGGTTACAAAAAAGTTGATATATCAAGTATTGATGAGCAAATAAAAGGTTTTGCACTGCAAAAGTAATTCTTCAGGAAGCGTGTTAGGCCATCTGCAGCCATTTTATTATACATGCTTCCTTCGGCACAAGATATCGGATTTGTTCTTGATTTATCAAGTATAGAGGATTCTGCAGCACCTTTCCGCAGCAGAAACAAATAAGCAGGTACCACAGGGGCAATAACGACTCTCCATTTTGAGAAGAACATGCTCGCGCTGCAAGCCTGGCATCCCGAAAGGAATGCAGGGCAGTAACGGCAAGCGCGCTGCAAGGCCTCCCTTCCCACCATTCCCGGTGCTGTAACTGTATACACGCCTGGCACTCGCCCCAGGCCTCACGTCTAACACGTTTTCAAGGGTGCACCCAAACCCTGGATTTAAATACAGCCATAACTGATGATTCTGCAGAGCAAAATAACCCGAAATGTATTTATTTATTCTTCTCGGAGTATGTTTGTGTTAAAAACATTTGTGCAGTTACACATCAGGAATAAGGCAGAGGAACAGCTTCAGTTCTGAATCCAGTGAGAGCTGAACTCACTCTGTAACTAAGTTAACAAAACATTCCCCAATTAACATATTTCTTCACTTTGTGTGCGGACTACAGAATTGCTAAACCCACCCCAACTGAGGTGAGCAGCCATTAACAGCTGTCATTTCACAAGCATATCTTATTTTCCATGACAAATTCACTTTGCTCAACAGCAACTTTATTCACTAACTGGAATCGCAAGCTGTAGCAACGCTATCCCAACAGTTCCTTTGCTCAGGAGTTAGCATTGCCTCTTACCAGGAGAGGAGCAAGAGCTGCTAACACGTAACTTTCCATAATTAAACAAATTCTTACTGTTTGCTTTTAGTATGATACATAACAGAAAAAATAAGCAAGACAGGTATGCTGTTTGTATAAGACTTGCCTTAGCTATTCATGCACACCTCCCCTCTAAGGAATTCTCTAAGGAATTACTTGTGTTTCTGTTCACCATTTAACTAACCAGTGCACACAGGAGATCCACAGCCTCTAGAACAAGTTCTTGGTGTCCAATCCGTGTAATACCCAAGTCTTCAAGATCCTGGTGGGAAATCTGCAACAGCTGCTCACCATTTATCTTCTCCCGTTCAAATTTATGGACGTACTGCTGCAGGCAATCATCCAGGCCTACCAGAGCACAAAAGAGAAAAAGAGAGACAGAGAGAGGATGTAATTGGAATTTCTCTCTTTCCTTCCCCCTGATCCCAGTTAAAACAAACAAAAAATTGCACAAGGCACAAATTGCAAGTGCAAACAATACACGTAGCTCCAGTTTATGAATGAAATTTGCAGTTGGACTGAAGATCAGAAGTGGAAGCACAAGGGCACAGAAAAAGCAGCATGTAAGTTTTGTAAATCTTTGGGTCACGTAATTCAACGTATGACTCTCTTGCTTCTTGCAGAGTAAGCTAAGCAGGGAAAGACATCTCTTCATTGCCAGCATAGGTAAAACTAGCAGGGACACAGATGGACTAACCCGATCCCCGAGGGCAACCAAACCAACCAGAGATACCAGAGCAACGCAGAGAAATTTAACAAGGAAAGAACATAACAGCTTGCCCCAAACCTGCTTACGCAAAACAAGAAAACCCACAGCTCCCAACCACACGCACAAGTGGGCTCAGTGATGAGAGGAAGAGAGAACAATCAGGGACAAAGTAATCAAAATTATGTTCAGCTTGGGTCTCCTTATTCCCCTGATTTATGAGGCCATGTAACTTCCTGAATCAGCCATTCTTTCCCCCTTTGCTAAGGTTAAAGACACACATCAATGAGAAATCAAATTTAATTTTCCTTTTACAAAGTATTTTTTAAACTTAGAGCACTGCATCTGTCACATCAATCTCCTTGCTTTATGTTGAGACTATATGATCCCTTTTTTACAGCATTTCTCCCACTTTTTACTGCACACATCTGTAAGAACACAGGAAATGAGTAAAAGACAAGAAAATAGAATTAAAATATCAAATCTAGTTATATGAATGAAATAAAATGGAGAGAAATGCTTTCTGTATATCAGTTTAAGCAATAACCTGGATGAAAACATTTGGATGGATGTGCTATTTTAAGCATGATGGAATGGTCTTAGTGCTCTGTTCCACTTCAACATAGCATATAAACAAAACACTAGCTAGAGCGAAAGAAACATCCATCTGAGCGGGTCAGTTTTTTAGTTACATCAAGTTCACAAGCAAAAACTCAGATTACAAATTTAACATCTACTTTATAGCAGCCACAACAACTATATTCTTTGAACAATTTAATAAAAATAACCCCATAACTGTGTAAAGGATGTTTACCCCACCACAGTGGCTAAGAAGGAAGCCATTGAGATGTGCAGGATGTCGAATTCTACAGATGAGAAGCACTAATCACATCCTGAGCTAAAAGGAAAAGAGACACGCAAGATGAACACCCAGTACAACTTATCAAGCTGCTAAGGGAACCTGGAAAACAAGCATTCCCGGCACAGGCTACTGCCAAGCAAACACTCAGAACAAATTAAATGTGGATTTTGGAGAGTTGCGTGAAACATACTCATTTCACAACAGCAACACAGTCATTACTGCCCTGTACTATTCAGCCACAGGAAATGTAGAGACCATGTACTCTCATAGACACAGGCTAGCACATCCCTGCCTTTATCATATTTAACTAGGAAATTCACAGGGAGAGACACCCCTGGCACTTGATAGTGCCACAGGGAAGCCTGGATCACGTTAAGGGGTGACTACCCAGCTGAACAAGCTCAACCCTCCACATGCAGAGCTACTCATGTACACAGCTTGAAATTTAAGCATAATTATGAACGTGGAAACCCACACAGAGGATCAGCTCAGGCTCCCAGGGCTACAGTAATTCAGGGTGCACTTTTTCTTTCCCATCTGTCTTGGCAAGTCCTCATATATTTTGAGAATTGAACCCAGTGTTCTCTTTCCCACAGGCACCAAATTCTCCCTTAGGCTATACAAACTCTTTTCCCAGGAAAAATAATAAAAAGATCTGGCCTTCATTGTTTAGCAATTTATTTTTTCAAAACAAATTCTCAACTGAGGCTGACATACAGCGCACATATTTGGCATTCCCAATTTTTAATGCTGTCTACCAGACCACTGTTTCCCATCATTTGCCATTGTAAGCCCATAGTTTCCATAACGAATTGCACAAGCACATAAAATAAAATACTATTTAGCATGCTATAAAGTTCTCATTTTAAGTTTCTTAGAATGTTAATTTTGCTTTTGCCTTCTATCCATTATGTTTGTTGACCCAACTTGCTAGACTTTTATTCCATGTTAAATCATGAGACTCTTCAATGTATAGATCCCAATTAGCATAACTGTGGCTTTCAGTTTACCTATAATTTTTTACTCCTATTTGTCTGTTCGAGTACCTACTACAAGTTAAACAACCACATCTAAAATATATTTTTTCACAGGAGTCCCTAAAAACAGTACTTCTGTGATCATCCTGTAACACTTTTGTAAAGCAAAGCATTAAAAAAAAACACAAAAAAAGTTTTATTCAAAATAGTCAATAGAGAAACATAGCTATTCAGATAGAAACTTAGTTAAAATTAGGTGACCAAAGCTCTAAAAAACAGGGAGTGATGATGCTGAAAACCCACACACTATGGCAAGCATTCACTAATGACTTAAGATGAGTTTACTAATATTAGTTCTGTTATTATTCTTACTATTCTTACATTTTAATGGAGAGTGCCACCAGATTTATAGTTTATTGTTTAATTTTCCATCACATGAATGAAATGTTTAAGTATCTCATGTAGGTCAAAGAAACACATTTTCACCATGAAGTAAAAGGAGAAGGAAAGAAAAGAGAACTCATAAATGAGTTGAACAACTAATAGTATTTAAGTAATGTTTAAAAGCCACCATTCAAATGCCATCGGCAATTCAAATATCTACATACACAAACACACACACACACACACACACACACACACACAGACTTTTTTGTTGTTTGTTTTTGTTTTCCTTGGCTACTTCCAAACACTTTGATTGTTTCAAGGTATTTTGTGAACTTCACAGTCTCTTCACAGTCTCCCGTATACTTGGTATTGCCCATCAGCAAAGTCTGGATATCTGAAAAATCTAGATGAATTAAAAACTATGTGTCTACACAACACAAGCAGTCTACATTACTGAAAAATACTTTTTCATATGCCAGGTTACTTTCACAACAGTTCACAACATGACAGTGGTATCCAAAGGTTACCCAGTATGTATGCAGCTTCTGGAAAGAAAAGAATTCAATATTTGTTCATAGATTATACATACTGGACAAATTAAAAAGCTGCTGGAAGTTACGCTATTTTGTGATTTGTCCTGTAATAGCCTAGACCACATTCTCAAATGTGACTGAGAAATATATGCAGTATGTTCAGTAGTTTAAATGCTGACTTAGATCCACATAAGTTAGAACATTATTAGCATACTGAAGCAAGAAAATAGTTTTTACCATTTCCAGGAGGCAGGGATGCAATTAAGGGACTGACACTGGAAAAGACACCTATACTCATTTCTTTATCCACTAAAGAGTCCTTCTGAAATCTAAATTAACTTCTGTTTTATACCAAAAATGTGTTTTAAAAAAGCAGTTATAATGTCTAAATTGGATGTGAAATATCTTTGTCTTGTACATAGCACATACAAGAAAGCCAGGTAGAAAAGATACAATTTTTCCTACTTACATAGTTAATAGAATATATGAAGATGAAAATAAAAATAGTACTTTTTATTTTCACTATAAAACACTACTCAAGTTTTACAATAATATGAGGAATGACTCTAGAGGGAGGAAGAAAAAAATAAACCAGTTAGTGTTATTTGTATCATGAGAATCTTTTGACGTGCAGCAGTCTAAGTTGCTCAAATTTATACAAACTCCCTTCCCAATTTTGGCAGGTGTATAGATGTGCAACAGATCCCAAGAACCGTCTAGACTTCCCTGTCTAAAATAACCTCCCATCACCACAGAAAGCCTCCCAGAGGATATTCAATACCTTGTATTCATGTTAAAACATTAGAACAAACCTTGCACTTACAGGTTCACACCGATACCAATCTTGGTCTGTTTTCAAGATTAAGGAAGTTATTTTGAATAAGAATTGAGGAAAGAAAAAAAAATCACTTTGGGGGAGGGAATGGAGGGGAAGGGAAAGGTAGGCTTGGGTCTTAGCCATAAGTATCAGTTATCACAGAGACAATTAAAACATTTCTACTGCTGATGAAATTCATCCATTCAGCACTGAATAATTACATTCTTTTTCATCAATTTCTGTGCTGGCCCATTATGAGCTAATCTCCCTACAATGAGGCAATAAATCCAATACGGTATTACATCCAAAACCAGCTGACTCACCTTCTCTGTTTTCTTCCCTCTGGTCCCAGTCTTCCCTACTCTTTTTCCTGGTCTTGATCTCAGTCCAAATTCCTCCCACCTCCCTCCACCTCTTCTAACAAGGGGTGGAAGGATGAGTGGAAAAGGAGCTGGGGAAGAGAAGGGGGAGCGAAAGGCAGAGGGTGACCAAGATCATTTCTACCAGTTCAGCACCTCGAATAGACTCTCAGCACTGCTCAGGAAAAACCCAAGTTGCTACTAGGATGCAGGACACCACATGTACCAAGAAAGCACTTGTAAGGTCCAAACCTTTCCCTCTGCATAAGGCCAAGCTGACAGATCGTGACATCCCACCTCAATGGCATCATTATGAAAACATCCTCTATCTCTTCTCTGTCAGGTGACTAAATCTAAGAGCAGCTGATATCCCCAGGGATCACTAGGGTGCTGCTGTTTCCCTGAGCCAGTCGAGAAGATACACAGGACTGCAGACAGCAGCCAACTTGGGTCCCAAAAGGCAGTCCTTGCACACACACACGTGCTTCAACCCATTCCCCCCAGCTTTGAAAGATCACCAGATCCTTTACATGGTTTAACAGCATCATGGTATTATCATTTATATTCAACGTCATTTTTATAACTGTTATCGTGGCAGCTTTTCTTTTGCTTCCTCCACCTATTTGCAGGACAGAAAGCAGCTAGGGCAAGAAAAAGCAGGAGGAAATCAATGCAGAAAATGAACAATAATTAATACCGAGAACTAT